CATGAACTTTTTTATTACTCGATTTGAATTATAATAATACTTTTTTATTTTTTTTTTGTTCAAACATATTATTCGCAAGCTTTATGGTGATCGATATATGAATACTTTGATGGATTCATTTTCATGAACTTTTCTACTGTGTGATAATGATTTTGATTTTTAATACAAAACAAAATGAAGAACTCAAGAAAAGAATCAATCTAGGCAATTCATGTTTCTATTCGGTTAACAAATTACTCAGCTCGCGGTTGCTGTCAAGGCGATTCAAAATCAGGATATACAGGACAATCATCCTGCTGGTAGTCCTTTATGGTAGCAAATCGTGGTCGCTCACGTTACAGGACGAAAAGAAATAGAGAGTTTTCGAAAACAAAGTTCTTCTTAAAATGTTCAGTGCAAAACGCGATGAGGAAATAGGCGAATGGAGAAAACTCCATAACGTTGAAGTGCATCGATTGTACAACAAACCGGACATTATCAAAGTCGTCAAATCACGCCGATTAAGATGGGCTGGTCACGTGGCGCGGTGCATGGGGGAGGATCGAACGGCGCACAAAATATTGGTCGATATACCAAACGGGAAAAGACCATTAGGTAGACCAAGACGTAGATGGGAGGATAATATTAGAAGGGACCTGAAAGAAATAGGATACGAAGACCGCGAATGGAAGGATCGGGGACAATGGCCCCGGGATTTGGTATTTGCGGCAATTAACTTTCCAGTTCCTAATGCCAGTTAATAATAATACAAAAGAAAATTCATAATTTACATAGTGATAGGAGATTTCAATATTCGAATGAATTCATTTTCATATATACTTTTTTTACTACTTCATAATTTATAAGTTACATATAGATCAATATATGAATAATTCATCTATACCTTTTGTATTATTTTATTACAAGCGATTATTGATTCTATAGAATAATTGTAAGTATAAAAATATAATTAGTAAATAAAAAAGTAAATTACACAATGACCGATTTAACTTGCACACATATGTCGACGGCTGTTATATATGAGATTTGGTTTATTCAATTGTTGATCTCGTTGTTCCAAGAATTAAATACGAGAGACGTATAAGAGATAAATAAACAAAACATAGAGAAGAGAGTGAATAGTTACGTGAAATGTTCTGCGTGTCCTTCAACAGTTGACGCGTGTATCTCGGATACGAATAGGAACGAAAGGTGGGTAAAGGAAGAGAGGGAGAGAGAGAGAGAGAGAGAGAGATAAAGAGAATTTCGGGTCTTTAAAATATTTATATTCTAACGAGTGAATCGTTGCCAAAGTTCTTTCCTTGTCGACGAATGCTAAAAGAGAATAGATTAAATGGCCGATAGGAAAAGCTGGCGCCAACGTCCAGCAAACGGGTGAGAAAAGGTCAGGGCCGGTTTCTGTGTTGGTTTTACGTAAATAGTGTGCGCGGGTGTATTCACGTGTTTCTTTACATGCTTGTTTTATGTGTATATGGGTGCGTTAACCAACACATGCACACACACATGTATATGTACATACATTACGTGTATCTTTTACTCCCTCAGCTTCCACTCTTCTTAGAGTTTTGCAGAGGCGGGATTGCAGAATTAATTATGCACCGGGACATTGGCCTCGCTACGGGAGTGTCTTGGCAATATCGTTTAGCGTATTTCCAACCAAGCGTTTACGACCTTTTTTTATTGTTTTGCCCTTTTCTTATCTCTCGTTTGTCTTTTTCTTCATCTTCTTTAACCTCAGCTCTTGCAATTAATAATAATTATAACCGTAACTAATCCAATTGTCCGCTTAAAAATCTTACCTCGTCAAAATGTTCACTGTGCACGATGGCAATCATTCATTTTAATCCCAAATTTATTATACTTTTCTACTTATAAAAACTTTTTACGTAATAGTTGTACTTGTGACGTAACGAATTATATTTCTTTTCTTCTAACCTTTTATTTTCATTTCTAATTATTTTAAGTATCGTGAGAAATATCAACGAAAGTCATTATTTTCACGCGGCACCAAAACACTATACACAGTGCTGCACGTTTTATTTATATTCACGTTATAAATGTATGCACTGAACGTATGTGTACATAGTTACTTATTATTTAATAAGTTTTCGCTTTTTCTACTCAAGAGCATCTTTCATTCTACGTTTTACGGTAGATATATATATCTCTCTCTCTCTCTCAGCATTTTACCTTCAGCCAGTTTTCAAGCGTAGGCGAGTAGAATCGAGGAAGTTTTCCTAGACGCGAATCGTTTCGTTTTTATGTATTTTTTTTTTTCTTTTTTTATTCATTGTGAGGGTTCAGACAAAGAGAAATATAAAGAAAGATAAACTGATGATGAACTGAAATATATGTATATGATAGATTATTAAATTAATTATGATGTGATATCGAAAATACAGAATACAAAAGGGTTACAAATATAAGACAGACTGTGTGTGTGACTGATTTACAGAATAACGGATAACACACAGACAGATGCAGACAGACTAAAGACTGAATACTAAGGACTGACTAAGGACTGATACAGACTAAAAACTAACTAAGGATAGATACAGACTGAGCACTAAGGAAACTTTCTTACTTCTTTCCACATATTAATATCAGAAATGAGCTACACCCCTTTGGAGAGGGAAGGGGATTATGAATCTTATTGACCAATAGCATAAGGATCCACTCCATAGTCCACCGATGGGTACAGCCTATGTTTTTTTTGGTAGTGGAAACTATACATAAAGAAACTTGATCTAGAATATCGGAATGTTATTTATTTATGGTATCGTACGTGCTTTGATAGGAATCTGAAACTCCTCAAAGGTCCCAACACAGCACAAAGGGTTTTCATCGCACAAATATATCTCGATAATTCTTAGGTTTGTTTATGGTTTTATGGCCCTCCTAATCTTTTCTTTTAGTCTCTGAATAGAGTTTTCCTTTTCAACAAAATCTTAATATATATAAATCACTTGTCACGTTGTTTGTCCACAATGGACTCCTAAACTACTAAACCGATTTTAATCAAATTTTGAACACTGTGTGCAATTTCATCCAACTTGAAAGATAGAATAGTTTATTCTTATTTGTTTATTAACAAAGAGTCATGATTATCTCTGTTAGTTCGATAAGATTCTAACAGACGGCGGTATAAGGTACGTGTGTATCGGACTGATTGTGAGCCACAGCACCCCTAGTAAAATATAAAGAAAATAACTGAATACTAGTTTTTTTTTCCTACAACATTTATAAAAATAATAACAAAAATATTTTAGAAAGCGTTATGTTTTTTTAAATCACAAGAGTTCGTTAAATCTCGTGTAATATTATTAATGGGAGAAATAAAAAAGAAAAAGTAACATGATTGAACGTACGTTATTTGTTAAAGGGAATTCGAATGTGTTCTTAATTCGAACGAAAATGTCTTATTGAAGAAACTGTAAGGATTACGTCTTAGAGTTGACTCAGCCGAGTAAAAACATCGACCAGAGGCACCTTATGCGGTTCCAGTAATTACCAAAGCGATTAAAAAGCAGGAAACACGTTGCCAAGTGTGCTCCGAGCCAAAATAAATACGTAACGTGTCTTTCGTTGAAACACCAACCTACACAAGCTTTTTCCCTTTGACATAGGAAATTGCGTTAACGACGACGAAATAAAAAGTCTTCTTCTTCTTCCTCTTCTTCTTCTTCTTTCTATCAGACGGTTATTCATGGTAACGTATGAAAATACAAGATACAAATTATTAACTCTCTTTCTCTCTATCTTACGATCTTTTCGAAGAATTTATCTTTGAACTTAAACCATACCACGCGAACTCTCATTTTTTCTTTCCTTAGAAAATTTTCAAAGGCGTGTTCTCATTCGTCGTATGTAAATTTTCACGCTACCGTTGAATATCCATGAAATAATATAAATTACAATTCACGTGTAAATTCGCAGTTATTTATTTTAAGTATGCATTTTTAGGTACTTTTTTATATGATCGATAGCAAAACCATCGTAAAGATAAATTTGTTAACGCATATCACGTGCGAAAGAAAAATAGGCCTAATCGCCATCTATCTTTCTCGTCTTTCAAGCTGTCAGACAAAAACGATCATTATTCCTTGCGTTTTCATAACTCCACTCACCACGAGGATTATAACCCAAAAATACAACGACATAGATACTTTTTTTTTTTTTTGACTCTATAGAAAGTGTGTCCCTAACTTTTTATCGCAAGACCCTTTGAAAATTATCCTACCGCGAAAACTCACTTAGGAAAGTCAACCATGAAAGTTAATCTTACGTAATAAATCGCTAATCAAATTTTATCGATACAATATTTAATTTCATTTTGATATATCGGTTAACTATATATATATACTAGGGGTGCTCCGCCACTCGTTGCTGTGGCTCCCAATCAGTCCGATACACACGTCTTTAAGGCAATTGCGATTATAAATTGAGATATAAACAATTCTATCTTTTAAATTGAATGAAACTGCACACAGTGTGCAAAATATTATTAAAATCGGTTCAGTAGTTTAGGAGTCCATTGCGGACAAACAAGGTGACACATAATTTATATATATTAAGATATAATACATTTTGACATTTGAGGTATAAGATCAACGATGACAAATCCCAGATGGCAAAAAAAAGATATAAAAAGTTAATTCAATATGATCAAAGTTAGCTAGGAAAAATTTAATCTTACGTAATAAAACGTTAATACATAGTTTTTTATTTAATACAATTTTCATTTCATTTTATTGATCATTCATCTATACGTAATAATACAAATGTAAACATAAGTATATCGATGAATTTCTATATAGTTCATAGATACATTGAGGATATACGATCAACGATGGCGATACCCAGGGGGTCCAAGAGAAATGGCAGCATCCACGACGATCGATCGATTGTCGAAGGCCACATCGAAAACCCAACTTAATCGGCCTCTTGTATCTGTATCAAATGTACATATCTATCTATATATATATATATTAGATATACATATACATAGGATACAAGTAAGTATGTGTGGGATGTAAATTCTGCGGAATTTAACATCGAGTTTATCGAATTTCATTCAAGAAAACAGACAGAAAGGCAACGAGGAGAAATAAAGAGATCCATAGAGAGAGAGAGAGAAAGAGAGAGAGAGAAAAAGAGAGAGAGAAAAAATGCATTTAGCCTGGAGGGATTTCTTTTTCATCCTACGAGTATCTAGACGTCTATTTCACGTACTAAGTCTTTCCAACGATATTGGCATAAATCGCCCACGGCAAAAAAGGGTTGCCAGTTGGTACAGCCTGGAATTAAATAGGGCGGAACGATCATTAGGTGTCTCGTAATTATATACATTCGTATAACCGGCTTTTTACTTGTTACAAGCATTATGCTGTTAATATGAATATAAACGTTAACGTATAATATAACTCGTGATAATTCTTTCTCGACTTTATCATTTCTACCGATAATAATAAATGTGGTACGAACGCCTCCATGCCAAACTTACCTGGGCATTCGTGAGAAGGATTGGTTGGTGGGCCCTGGATAGCTCAATTGGTTAAATGAGCAGTCGCCCGAAAAACGAAAGATCCATGGTTCGAGTCCCGGTCCAGTTAGTCCAGCGGTCCAATTGTTTTCACGAATCCCACACATGGAGGCCCCTCCGGGATGGAGGGTCTGTTTCGTAACACGTTCCACAGTTTTACAACGCCAGGAAAAAAAAATAAAGACGAAAGTTGAAAGTTGATGACAAAAAGACGAAATTGGTGGCGTAGGACGCTACAAAAAGAGGAGATGATGTTGAGTGGCCATAACATTTAAGGTCGAATGTTGTTAAAGGGGGGTGGAATGTGGGACGAGCGCCTCCATGCCAAACTTATTGGGCATTCGTGAGAATGATTGGTTGGTGGGCCCTGGACAGTTCAATTGAATTAATGAGCAGTCGCCCAGAAAACGAAAGATCCATGGTTCGAGTCCCGGTCCAGTTAGTTCAGCGGTCCAATTGTTTTCACGAATCCCACACATGGAGGCCCCTCCGGGATGGAGGGTCTGTTTCATAACACGTTCCACAGTCTTACAACGCCAGGAGAAAAAAATAAAGACGAAAGTTGAAAGTTGATGACAAAAAGACGAAATTGGTGGCGAAGGACGCTACAAAAAGAGGAGATGATGTTGAGTGGCCATAACATTTAAGGTCGAATGTTGTTAAAGGGGGAGGGGGTTGGAATGTGGGACGAGCGCCTCCATGCCAAACTTACCTGGGCATTCGTGAGAAGGATTGGTTGGTGGGCCCTCGATAGCTCAATTGGTTAAAAGAGCAGTCGCCCGGAAAACGAAAGATCCGTGATCCAGTTTTTGTCCCAAAGCTTACATAAATATAATAATTTGATAAATGATCCAAAAAAAAGGAAAGAAGAATTCAAAGTTGACTCGTTCAAGATCCAAAGCAATTTTGTTTATATGAAATGCAAGCTTGAGTTTATAAAAAAAAAACTTCGATAAAATTTAATACGTTAAAAGCAAAAACGCGTTTTACAACTATCCGACGTGTACCTGTCGATTAAGCTTGAAGTAACTGAAATTTCGTGAGAAAAAAAAACGTATAAGAAAAATCTAAAACAATGAACGAACCTAACGTAAATAATTGAATTTCGCGTTTTCCTTTGAAAGCTTTTACGAGAGCTAGGTGAGGTAGAGTTGAGGAGAGATGAGAAAAGTAAGAGGAAAAGAGGGGCACGTGTCTTTTTGAAATTGGCATCGTTCGTTAATTTGATACGAAGAAATGATAATGGCAGTCAGTTTCAGGCTAATAAAAAAAAAAAAGGTTCACCTTTCACCTACTTCATATTAATTCTATTTGTATGAATAAAGATATGGTTGGATTATACGAGCAGGTATATAATTACGTAAGCATACATGGGAAAGGGAGAGAGGTTGTGTCATTCCATCGTTATGCACGTATTTAGGAAGAATTGACAGGTACATCCGCTTAGCGTGATTAAACTTCACATTATCGAGGGAATGCCAAGCTGTGATATAACGACGAAAGACCAGTCCTGTCATTTCTACATATGCTCCTGCCATTCATAATATAAACATATATGTATATTGTATATCACTATGAATCCTATATATATATATATATATATATATTATATAGAAACGTATGACCACCAAGTGAATAATTGTTTAAGCCGAATAATCCGCTTTTCCTAGCCACCCTTTGTTTTCTCTTAATTTTAATGCAGTTATGTTATACGCTGCCACTCGTGTCAATGACCCTGCCTTTTTTTCTTTGAGCGTGTTCATCGTAAAATCGATAAACTTGCCCCCTTACGTTTTTTTCCTTTCTCTCTCTCTCTCTCTCTCTCTTTTTCTTTCTGCTCATCTTGTTTCTTTCTTTCATCCTTTTTTTTTTCTTTTCTTTTTTATATACCTCATTATAATGTTGGAAAAATGGTCGTAACATCTTCGATTTGTTTACAGCACGTTAAAACATAGCTCAAGTACAGGTCACGGAATAATCAGAGACATATTTTCTACTTACCTTATTAAGGTTATGGTAATGAAGAAAAAAAGAAACATTGGATATAGAAATGACGGATTACGTTGAACAAGATTACGATACCCCCTTTTCTTAGTCGTTGACTTAACAACGATAGTTGTGAAGAAAGTTTTATGTGTGTATGTGTACATGCTCGTTACACGATACAACACATGTTTGCCAGATAGAACGAATCAATTGATGTCATTGCAAAAATAACAATAACAATAGCAAACAACAATAATAACAATAGTAACAGTAATAGTAGCTGCAACAGTAGCTGCAGCAGCTACAATGTGCCATCGAGATTCATCTCTGGCACACACGAATGGTGATCGATAACCGCGAATGAACGTGACGCCTAGGAATTTTCGTGGCTTGTGTTCGGAGCAACAGGTAAGAAGAATTCGAATGGGATTAATTTTTGACCGAAAGAGAAAAGACGAGAAAAAAAAAGGGGGGGAAATAAATTTAGAAATTTTGTATTGCAGTGAGCTAAAATGTATTACACCAATGTGTCAAAAATAATGAAAATGAAGTGAATGAAATATGATAGGAAAAAGCAAAAAAAAGAATAAAGGACAATTTGTTTAGAAATGTGTATGATATAAAAATTACAAAATACGATTATAATAATCGAATGAGAAATCACGAAACGCTCGTTAACGTCGATTCAAATAACCTAGCGTGGATGCAAATCCTCTTGACGGCTCTCTTTGGTAGACAATTCGTTGCTCGTTCATTCGCCAGAGGGACAAGGAAAGATAAGAGATAAGCGTGCCTTCCTCGGCAGTTTGAACAAGGCCTTCCTCTCGTTTGCTTACTTGCTACTATTCTCTGCTACAATTTGCATATCGTTCCCGAGGCTGTGTACAACCACCTTCCTATCTACTACTTTTTTGCACATACGTCCCGTGTTAACTTTTCCACTTGCTTTTTATGAACATATTTTCTTGACCTAGACGTTCCATTTTTTTCCTTATTTCTGAAGTGAAAATTTCTTTAGAATCAGGGTGATTTGAAAATTGTGAAACGGAAGAACATGAAACCGATAAAACAAAAATAATTAATTAATTAATTAAATTCTATATATAAAAACTCAGTGTCACAATATGTTTGTCCAATAATAATTCCAAAACAACTCAACTTATTTTCATGAAATTGATTTTATTTCACGTGATTTTTTCCAATTTAGCACATAGCACAATTTTTATTTAGAGGTTATCTAGATTCTGTAAGGTTCTTTCAATAAATGGCGCTGTATTACAATTCAATTATTTGGAAGCTTGGTTTTCTTTGATGGTTTCACTTCTACCGTGTGTGTTTTATTCGTTCATGTATGAGAAAAAGGGATTTTTAGCAAAATTTGTTATCAAACAAACTCTTTTGAAAAATTATTTTAAAAAGATTATTTAATAAAATTACAAATAATTATTAAACGATGAATATTATGCTTCCTTTTTTTTTACTTTTTTTTTCTTTTTTTTCTTCTCCGCCGAGTTATTATGCTTGAAGGAAGAAAACGCTTGAAATCGTGACGGATCTATTTAATCCTCCTCGAGGATAACATTTAACCAGCCCTTGCTAAATCCTCTTCCAACTGGAACGAGACACGCGATAGCGAGGAATTATAAATTTCAAAGACAGAGAATTACATTCTGTACTTCATAGCTCGAAGAATTTCAAGACTCGTGTACGTTGATAGAATGGACAACATTGTCCTTGAGTTTAAAATGGAAAGAAAAAAAGAAGTACTAGAAGAAGAAGAAGAAGAAGAAGAAGAAGAAGAAGAAGAGAAAAAGAAAAAGAAAAAAAGTTAAATCAGTTCACGGAGCTTTACAAGTTAGAGAGGTTTTTAAGGAAAGTCGATGTTCCAGATCAAAATGGTCACTGATCAATACGAGAAGGTTCCGAGGTCTCCTTCGATACATTTAATTCTTCTTCGTTGCTACTATGCTTGAATTAATTCAGTGCTAGAATCTCATGAAATATCGATCATGGTTCCTCAAATAGATGCACGATTATAATTTTATCCGATAGGACTAAAGAATTTTCATACGATATCTGAAATATTTATTACTAACAAAATATATTCGATAAATATGTTAATGTATTGAAATGTGTGTAAGATGAATTTTTGTTTAAATTAGAAAATTTAAATACTTCGAAAATAACTCACTTATAATCTTATTTTTATTTTTTTTTTTTTTTTTTCAAGTGAAAACTTCTTTAGAATCAGGGTGATTTGAAAATCGTGAAACGGAAGAACGTGAAACCGATGAAACAAAAATAATTAATAAAATTCAATAAATAATTTAATTCTATATATTTAATTTTATATATTAATTAATTAATTAATTAATTAAATTCTATATATACATAAAAATTCAGTATAACAATATGTTTGTCTACTAATAATTC